TGCATAAGAAAACGTGGTGTCTTAAAAAAAAAGAAAAAAAGAAAACGTGGTGTCTTAAAAGAAAAAAAGAAAACGTGGTGAAGAAAGCTGATGGTGCCCAGCTATTACAAAATAAGCTGGGGTCTTAAAGGTTTGAAGCTAAACAAGCGGCCATCTAGCAGGGAAGCAGCAAAGCCCACATGGAAGAAGCACACCAGCCTGTGTAATTATGAGGTGTTGACAGGATCAGGTATCAGCAGACCCAAAGCAAACAATCATATTGATGAGAATGAGGTGGGTGGGTGGGGGGGCGGCGAAGTGGAGACACAAAGCCTATCTGTAGACAATTGGACATTCCCTCAGAGAAGGGTCACAAGGAAGAGTGCAGTATAACACTGATGAAACATACAATATATTCCTCTAGAGCTCCCTGCCCCCCGCTCTTACCCCCACTATTATAACCCCAGTTCTAGCTTGCAAATCCGGCTGGAGCATGTACACTGGTACAGATGAATACATGGAATCCAGGACAGATAAACCCCTCAGGAACAATAATGGGAGTAGCGGTACCATGAGGGTAGGGAGAAGATGGGGGGAGAAAGGGGCAACCAATCTCAATGATCTATATATAACCTTCCCCACCTAGGGTGATGAACAACAGAAACATGGGTGAAGGGAGATGGTGTAAGATATGAAATAATAATTTATGATTTATCAAGGGTTCATGAGGATGGGAGGGAGGAAAAAAATGAGGTGCTGATACTAAGGGCTCAAGTAGAAAGAAAATGTTTTGAAAAGGATGATGGCAACATGTAAAAATGTGCTTGACACAGCAGATGTATGGATTGATATAAGAACTGTAAGATCCCCCGATGAAATGATTAAAATAATAATAATAAATAAATATGTATGCACATTAAAAAAAAGAACGAGAAAACAAAAGTCCAAAACATTGAAAATGAACTCCTTTTAATAAAAGTGCTTGGTACAAAACACAGTGAAGGTGTGGGATAAGTGAGGGGATTGACATTGATTAGTTGAAATAAATGTGCAAATTATTGAAAGAAAAAGGTAGCCCCTCAACGAGATGAACTGACACAGCTGTTACAACAATGGGCTCAAACGTAACAAGAATCAGGTGAATGGCACAGGACTGGGCAGGGCTTTGTTCTGTTGAACCTACCGTGGGTAAGTCCAACAGAACTGACTCAACAGGCAAATCCAGGGCTAGGATGGATTTGGCAACCTGGATGTTGCTTAAAGCATGAACTGAACTGACACATGGATGACTGATTTCACAGTTCTGTTCCATTTATTATGTCTTTTAGATTTACAATGGTATTTT